AATAATACTTGTACCTGATACCTATTATCAATAATTAATTATCAATTAATTATAATATCAATTCAATTTATTAATCAGTTTTCTTATTTCAATTAAGAATTAACACATATTTAAGTGACTGTCATTTTCTGTCATTTTTTTCAAAACAGGATCACTTACTCCATGAGTTTGCTTTCTTTTTTGTCTGTCTGTCCTTCATATTTGTCTCTTATAGCTAAATTATCTATCAGCAGTACGTCTCTTATCAAAGTCTTTATTGATATCTATAAAGATAATATTAATATAATTAGTAGACAGTAATAGAGAGCCTAATATAATTATGTATCTATTTACCACTGTGCTTTCATTGGTTTGTTTGTTGTTGTACCAAGTTATTACTGCCATTGTTTTGTCAATGAATTCAGAAGGAATTCCAATCTAAGGTACAAGAAAGATCATTATATTTTCATAACTACAAAACATTCTGAGATAAGAAATTTACTGTTAAGAAAAAAGATAAACAAATAAATGATTTAGGTGAATCAGATTTCATTTGCAGAGTRATCATTGCATATTCTAGTAAACATGAATTGTAAACCTACCTCAGCGACTGCTTGGTTATAATGATCTTTCAAAAAGTTCTTCAACTCTGTTTCATCTGAAATGAAATAAAGGTTACATCCATTCAGTGCTCAGGTACCMACTTAAACCAGCTGATGAGCTACAGGTYWCTCATTTCTACACACCATTGAGGTCYAAAGTAGATAGGAATTCTTGAATTTTRTCTTGTTCAGGCTTCTCAGTTGTTGAYRCMRTGCTGGTTGWAGATGTCTTGGGTATATGTGCATCCCTTAAGAACAAAGTAACCAAAATGATCTAGCTTGTATTGCTTATTATACCATCTGTACAATGTCTTTTTGGGAACCAACTTGTCAACATTCATTTTACTTACATATTCTGAGATTTTGGATTTTCTTTTTGTTTTTTAATGGCAGACTTGGTCAGTTTCTTCCCTGTACTTGTTTTTGACAAGTGCTTTTTAAGCTTTTTTGGGGTCTTCTTATTTGAGTAAGACTTCTTTTGCTTGTAGAGTTCTTTTAGCTTCTTGATTAAACTGCTTTCGTTGTTACTAGATTCTTCTTTGTTGCTTTAAATAACAAAGTATTATTCAAACAAATTGATTGAAGCAAAAAATGAATGAGTCAATCAGCATGACCATCATACAATCAATAAACCAGTTTGACAATCAAACAATTAACCTGTCAATCAGTTAGTCTGCCATCAAATACATGAACCAAACCAATCATTTTAATTTCAGTCTATCAATCAATCAATCAATCAATCAATCAATCAATCAATCAATCAATCAATCAATCAATCAATCAATCAATCAATCAATCAGTCAGAAAGTCAGTCAGTCAGTCAGTCAATCAATCAATCAATGAATCAACCAACCAATCAGGTAATCAGTCAATCAATCAATCAAATAACCAATAAGTTATCAAGTTAGTGCCTGGGTACTTGAGAAATTGTATTTACTATACTAAATATGACAATATGATATTTATTTACCTTTTAAGGTGTTGTTGTCTCACAATGTCAGGAGCTGCCTGTAAACATGCTAAGTCTAATGACCAACTATTAACATCTTGCATAGAAAAAACCTTAGAATTAGCACTTTCCTCCTCTACATTTCCATCCACAATCGATGAATGAACTTCACTTTGTGRGGGAACTCTTGTTTYACTGTTTGRCATCWCTGGTAAATGAATRTTATTGCATAAAACTGTATTTTGGTTGGGCCATTCTTGCTGTGGCTGGCWCCAAGCAAGAAGCTTCTCTACCACAAGWAGTCTTTCAGTGTTGATAACATTGATAGTTCCACAGAGTGAAGTMAGAGGTTGCAATACTGACATTACTGGTGTYCTGCTCAATGGGTCCTTCATTTCAATAACCTGGAATTCCAACAAAAGCATCATTTAAAATTTGTACCTTTTATGAATATAATGAATTTTGAAGGGTAATCTACTATTTGACAACAAATAATAAAGTTGATAATAAATAGCAATATGTGATAGTAATATAAAGAAATATTGCTTGAGGGTAAGTATGATAAGAAGAATATTATAACAGGCTGGGAATATAATGTAAAGAAGTCAATTGACAATGATGAAGCTGCAGGCTAAGGATAGCCTGCGTTTTGGTTCGGCTGCACGCAGGCTAGCTAAGGATGATAACAGCAATTTGTATAATACACCCTTACAATCATTTAATTACATTCAAGATAACAATCATTACCAGTAATAAGTTCTGCCGGGACAATAATAGCAACAGTCTTTGAAACCAGCCAGATAATGACGACCATGAATCATTGGACTCTTCTTCTTGTTTCAGGTYTTGTTTCCCAATCATGGCTACACAGGAGTAGACTTTTGTCAAGTGGAACCACGTTGGACATACTTTCTCTCTCCTTATTGYCCCCTTGATCCAAAACACATTTTGATTTTGGGGTACTGAAGACTGATTGGTATTTTCAGAAKTGTTTTGTGACAACTGTATTGTGTGACATGTCACAGACTCATTGCAATTCCTGATTGAAAGTGACACTCTTTGATTTGTATTTGGTATTGTGTTACTTGTAGTTGACATTGTTGATAACATTGGATTTAGGTGTAAAGCACAATGTGCAATTGGAGGAGAACCTAAATAAAATCAAATTTTATTAGAAATTTTTTAAATGTTGCATAGTGGACTGCATGAGTCAGAAGCAAAAAGCACTAACCTTTGTTAACTATAGAGATATAACTAACATTCTTTAACTTACCTGAAGAGCAAAGAAGACCTGTCCAGTTACTAAAACCACAGCCCTCCCCCATACCAATCACTGCCATTCTCGGTTTTTCAGAAATCGTGTTTGGAATTCTAATATAGTTATTCAAAACGGACAATAAAGGAATTAAAGGACCATCTCCATTATCTTGAGTTGATTGACAGCTGTCAGTAGTCACTAGAGCTTGTAATGGGATGATTCTTCCATTTAGAGTTTGAAGAAATTTATTGATCATACTGACAACTGTGTTTTCCTACAAAAATAAATGAAAAAAAAAAAAAAAATAATAAAATGAGTCTTAAAGTAAATGCTCGAAAATGTTATATGCAGTGATTTATATGAAGAAACGGGTCATATAAAGTTAAACTCCTGTAAATAGACACCTTGGGGAAATGGAAAAAGAGTCCTTTGGTAGAACTGCCTGCCAATGAGAAGGTGTGGATACAGTAATGTTTATATATGAAAGAAAATAACATATGAGCTGTTCATAATTAATTCGACCTGTCTTGTTATATTATCTTCAAAGTTAAGACAGAAGTCTGGTATACTAGTATTTTGACAGTTTACAGTTGGAGCACTGTTATATTTCCTATATGCTCCCATCTGTCATAGCTTCATCAATGAAGAAAAGTAATCATGATGTTCTAAACAAGTAATTTGTTACTTTTTTCTAGTTTTTTTTTAACTTACCACAAACGTTTCATTGTATGCAGCATCAATCCAGTACAAATCAATACCATAAATATCAACAAACTCCCTAACYAAAGCACTGGACATCATAATWGCATTTTGAAAACTTTCCAAYTGTTCCACCTTTCTTCCTGAAAACACTTCTAAACTTTGAAAACTTTTTGGGCATGATGTCATCAAAAACACAATATTTCTTTTCTTAAGTGGTGWAGTACTACGAGTTGTTCGTAGAGGAGAATTAATGTCRTTAGTYTCCCACTGAAAGTCRTGTATAACTTCAGTCAAAGCACACGAGAGGCAGTTGGAAGCGTTTGGCATCGTTTGTTGTTGTTGTGTATTTTTCYGTGRTTCTTTRAAGCGATCGCCAAGACATTTCTCAAAATTCTCAAACTCTTCAATGCAAAACTCCTGAAAGTTATGCCTTTCATATCGATGGGTRAGWGAAGAAGAACTGTAGAATTTGTATCCCCAGTGAAACCTCGACGAGAAGCGATCATTCAAGTACGAAAGTACCCTCAAAACACATAAAGGAACACATTTCGATGCTTCTTCCGAATAAATTCCTCCAAAAAGTCTTGATATGTTCTCGTCTATTAGAAATACAACTTGTAGTTTATCCCTAGACTCAGTTTCAAAGGTCATTGTAGACAAAAAGGAAAAGAATTAATAAAATTTGGGCCACACTTGCATGACGTTGTTTCGTACAACATGGCCGTCCATTGTAAATAGAATTTTCGCGCCAAAATATCACGTGACCYAGAAATATTCCAACCCAGGCTATCGACGGCYTTGCGCTTTWGTGCGGATCGCCGCARATAAACAGTGAAGTTATYCCTCCCCTCACTCATAAACGAAMAATTTTCATCAAAAACTAGAGCAAAGCGTTTTTATTATTTTGAAAACCAGCATACATAACAAAATATTACATCGTCTTTCCAAGTTATCATGGGAATCCATAGGTGCAAATAATTGTGCATTGATAAAATAGTCATGGTCCTTGCTACAAAAGCTGCTACAAAAGCAACTTATCTATAAATATAATTTTAATGTGTGCATTTGATCTACGTAAAAATGTCCCATAAGCCAGGATAATCAGTAATGGTTTCACGGAAAGCGGCGTCCTTGATTACACGGACGCCCAAGTCTCATGCACTTTTCACAGAGGGAAGCAGGATGGGTCTTGCTTTCATCTATGTTCTCATCTAGTCCGTCGGGTTTTTCCAAAGGTCGTTGCTTGTGTGGATACACCATTATGTYACAYGAGTTRCATTTTTGTCCACAGTTCGCCCAACTAAAGGCGCTCATCCACAAACGGTTGCATTGTGGGCATTGAAATTCACCAAAAACTCGGCGTTTACCCTGGTAAGGAGTCTACAGAGGGCAATGAGCAAATCAAAAAGATTAAAATTGCATCTTTTCTCGCCTTACACATACAGCCATCATTTAAAGCAGAGCCTTTTCCTTTTGCATTGTCAAACGAAAACAAAAGAACACCCTTCACGAGACATGACATCTCTTGCTGTAAACAAGTTCCAACTCATCGATTTTAAGAAATCGTCAAAATTCCCCATACATTGGCTATAGCGTAATGCGTCGCAAGTTTTACAACAAAACAACTGATTCCAGATTTACAGGTTCTATAAAATCGTTCACTTCTAGGCGTAAACTGCGTAAATTAGAAAAGAAATTACGCAAAAAAATCCCGAAGGCGAAAACAATATTTTGTCTGCCTTGGCCTGTACTTTGGTGACGCGAAACTGAGTAATTTAAGCTTATTAACAATTTTAGGAGTTTAAATATAACAAATATTTTTACCTTACTGGAGGACATTTCGCTTAATTTGGTTTCCTTTTCTTTGTGATGGCTTTGGTTACACAGAAATACTTAAGAAATCAGAAATGCTTAGAAACCAGTTTCCCGGAAATTCTGCACGACTGGTCAT